CTTCTTACTTTTCCATGTCACCAAGTTATCTCCAATAAATGTGCAAAAACTGGTAGTGGTAGTAGACCTATTATCACAAGAACCAACTCAATCTGTATCTATATAAACCTCTACATGTAGATGCCCATGCTTGGAGAAAACAAAGTCTATCCCTGGATGCTTCTTCAAATATTTGAGAACATGAATTATGGAAGGAAGACGTGCAAAATTTTAGGACAATGTATGCATGTATTAAATGAGAACTCCCACAAAGTAAGCAATATCACATATGAAGCATGTTCCTCTTACCTTAGCCTTACCCTTGTTTACTTTGGGCTTTGCCTTGGCAGGGGAAACCTTTCCCTCCATAATCTTGCTATCTTCATGTTCTACAGTCTTGACCCTATCATCATTATGGCTTGTTGAGTGCTCTCCCCCACCTCTGTTATGGCCAACTCTTGGGGCCCTAATCTTGGAAGAGCCATCCTTTTTAGTTTCTACTTTTTTTTTTTTTTGCCTTAGCCATGGCAATAACCAGGTATTAGACCCCATGCCTTTAGAGCTCAAGCTCATCCAAATGTAGGAACCCATCCATAAAGTTAAAGAATAGGTCTTTCTAGTCTCATAGTGTACTTGTGTTCTGCAACTGCTTCAGACTCCATCTTGCCAAATATTACACATTCTCAGTGTAGAATTAGCTTTTGATCTCTCTTGAACTCGCCCAAGATTTGATAGAGCACACCCCTTTCTCCATGTCATTGAGCCACCTTCTCCACTAGAGCATGATGGTGTCAATGAGGTATTTTGTGGCCAGCCTCACCTTGGCCTACTTGTCTATGACACCCATAGCCTCTAAGTCTTGCTCCAAGTGCCAAAAGTTGTCTCTTGATCCATCATACTTGGGTGGCTTGGGTGCCCTCACCTTGGTGATGCCCCTATGCCTGCCAATCTCATCCTATGCCATGGTCCTCTTGCATAATGCATATGGCGATGTCCCCTTGTAGCTCCTCCACTTGAGCTTGGATGGTGGCCAAGTCCCATAGCAACTTGGCTTCAAAGCCCCCTCCTTGCTGTCGCTCGTCATGCATAGCATTGCTAAGTGCACCCTACAGACTCTCCCTGAGATTTTCTAGTTCATACTCAAGGTTGTCCACCTGAGTGCCCATCTCCCTTGGGCAGTCATGCATATCAGTCAGGCCCAACTCAAGCTTGGCAAACCTAGCTTCCCAAATAACCAGAACCTTTATTGTGTGTTTGACCAATACGCCAGAAGCCTTAAGATTGATGGAACACGTCAAGCCAAGCACTTTAATCAATTAGGACCGTAACATACCACCACGCTTCCATAGCTGACATCTCAGCGGCTTCACTCAAGGAAGCTCTCACTCTAGTGGTAGGTAACCCTCTTCATGACAGCTCTCACTCTAGCAGCAAGTAGCCCTTTCCTTTTGGCAACTTTCACTCTATTCCAGGTAGCCCTTTCCATGACAGCTTTCACTCTACTCTAGGTAGCCCTTCTCCCAGGTAGCCCTCTCTGTGATTCGAACTTGTGACATGGTGGTAGGCTCTGATACGAAATGTTGTGTTCTTGACAAATACACCAAAAGCCTTAAGACTGATGTAGTGTGTCAAGCCAAGCACTTCATTTAGGACAGTAACAACTCCATGGGCATGTATCCTCTATCCTTGGATACACCCTCACAATCCCTCTTGCCACATCCCTTAGCCATGCTGACTACCTCTGATAGAATGTCCCCTACAAAAGCTATTTAGTACTTACCACAAACCAAAGCAAAGATGCTCTGATACCACTTGTTACAACCTGACTACTCTAAAGCCTACATCATGCGACATTCCACTCATCCCACAAATGAAGTCAGCCTAACCCACCAAGGAAAACTTACTTTGGTGAGCTCCAAGTGCAAAGGAAACAACTAAGGCATAAAATAGGTAAGACACTTGAGTTTGAAAAGGTTACTTGTGTTACACTAAAAATGTGTTTGCCAAATGAGGGAAGGGGGACCTGTTTATAATCAGTTCCCTTAAAGTTACATCTCCTAGCTCATATGCTACCACTTGCTATGGTGAAGTGTCACCATGAAATAATCTTTAGGTTATTTACAAAATTGCCACTATTGTCATTATATGAATTATTCCTTTGTAGCCCCTTTGGACTTTTGTCTTTTTGTGCTTCATGGATTAAAGCTCATTGACAGTCTTCAGGTGATCATTTAATAGTGTGTGACAGACAACAGCTCTAGACTTAGCTTTAAAACTAGATTTGGCCACAACCACCTATTTCTTACTTTTCCATGTCACTGAGCTACCTCCAATGAATGTGCAAAATCTGGTAGTAGACCTATTATCACAAGAACCAACTTAATCTAAGTCCATATAAACCTCCACACATGCATGGTGAAAACCAATCCTCTCCTTAGATGCTTCTTCAAATATTTGAGAACATGGTTTATGGTAGAAAGATGTGCAATTGTAGGAAAATGCATGCATGTATTGAATGAGAACTTGGAAAATATAAGCAATATCAAGCCTGGACATAACGAAGTCTTTCCCCACTACCCTTAACTAGCTTTAGACTAAAATCCATAAGTCTGTCAGCTGGTAATGGAACCTAGATTTTCTACATTCTTATGTAGATCTAGGATGCACTTTTGCTAGGATATAAAGATTCCCATGGTCCTAGAAACATCAATTCCTAAAAAAGTATTTTAAGAGGCATAGATCTTTTAAAGTATGATACCAAGAACTCTTTTACATTATGATTTTCAAGCCTCAAATTCCCAGTAATAATAATGTTATCACCATAGACAATAACCACTGCAACCCTAGTGGTTGCACCACCTTAAAGCATGCTCTAAGGGATTATTTTAGTCCATACTATAACTTCTACAAGAAACACACCACTTCACTGTCCTCAAGCTAGAACCCTAGTGGTTGGCCCATGTATACTTAAATATCCCCATTTAAAAAAGCATTCTTTATATCTAACTGATTATCTGCCAACCAAAATTCGCTGCAAGAGATAACATAACTCATATTGAGTTCATCTTAGCAACTAGTACAAAAGTGTCATTACCATCCAACCCATATATTTGAGAGAAGCCTTTTGCAACAAGTCTAGCTTTGTACCTCTCTATAGACCAATGTACTCTATGCTTGAACGAATACCCATTTGCAAATTGGTTTCTTTCCCTCAAGAAGATCAACTAATTCCTTCATGTGATTCTCGCATAAGGCTCTAAGTTCTTCTAACATGCCAATGTTCCACTCCACTCAAATAATTGTTTGGCCTATGCAATATTTTTTGGGAAGAGAAACACTACATATGATGGAAATATAAGCATGATAATGGAGACAAATTATTACAAGTGGTGAAATAAGCAATGGGGTATTCAGTACAAGAACAACCACTTTTATG